GACAGCAAGGCTGCTCTTCACATCTCTGCCAATCCCGTCTTTCATGAACGGACGAAGCACATTGACATTGATTGTCATGTGGTCCGTGATCTTTACAAACAAGGTTTTCTCTCCCTCAATCATATCAGTTCTTCCCATCAGATTGCTTATTTGCTTACTAAGTCTCTTACTCTTCCTCAGTTTGAAGTGTTACTTTGCAAGATGGGCTTATCCCAAGCTCATCTTTAGGAGGGCGTGTTGGACAGAATGTCTGATTCTCAGAGTCAAAATGAAGTGCTTGATTTTAGGATATCTTGATTTGTAATGTTTGTACAGTTCAATGTAACATTTGTAAATAGTATAGGGTGTAAGGTTGTAAATAATGTTAGTTGTAAATAATGTTAGTTGACTTACTCAATTAGTTTGTACATACATATAAAATTGTATAGATACATTACTTTAGTAGCATAAATATACAATTGAATTTTTTTCCCAAATTAGAAAACACTAACCTCTCATCTCTTTCAACAATTTTCCAATAATAGTAGAAGGATCACAGCAGAAGTGGGAAACGTGATTTGGGGTACCAAATTCAGGACCACTTGAAGACCAGAGCTTTCCACGAAAGAGGAAAAATTTTCCGGCCAAGAAAGAGCTGCAAATACGTGGCCAAATTAATTATGAAGAATCAAGAAAAAAAGATAACAACAAAGCTAGAAATCTCGCTGAAAGGATAAGGTAGAAATGTGGTCCTGATGGCTGAGAGGACATGGCTGAATGATAATGAAGATCAAGTGATGTGGCCGCTCTATAAAAGGAAAAGAGACGAGCAATCTCAGCAACGAAATCTGGAGCATATTTTATCATAGAAAAATTAGGGTAAAACTAGGAGGAGGGTGAGGCTAGAGCTTTGAAGCAGAGCAACTCAAGAAATAACAATATATAGACAGCTACTCAACAAGTAGAAATTCGACTTGGCTAAGTCGACTGAGTGGAGCAAAATGTATGAGTCTTTCTTCTTCACATTTAGGATAACAACACCCCTCAATCTTGAACATAAACTAAATTAATCCTAAATCATTTAATTCATAAATAAATAATTAACAAACTAGAGTGAGTTCTCTTAATTACCTCATTGAGCCAAATCTTCTCTATATGCGGAAGTTGGTGTTGGTTTCTTGTCCTCCCATTCTGTTTGTCTTGACTTAAAACTCACAGTTCTTAGTCACTCTTTTCTCTAAATCTATTTTCTGAAGTTGGTGCAAATAAAACGGTTGAATCCTTCCCATTTATAATTCATCATTTCTTTTTTACTTCACCAAATGGATATGGATTCTAGACTGCCAACTCCTCATTCATTAGATTGGCAGCCTTCTAATTCATGTCTACATGTGGAAATAAGCAGACCAGATTAGGTTTGAAATCGAAAATGGACATAAGTGGACAGGTTTGCTATAATATTTTGTTGATAAAGCTAGTTCAATTTATTTGATCTAACCGTCATTGATAATTATCTTAATTCGTATCCGATAAGTGTAGCAATATCTAGGCATACCCACGGTTTTGGAACTGCCGGTTTCGGTTCTAGAACTGCCGGTTCTGGTTCTAGAACCGCCGATTCTGGTTTAGTAAAAATAAGAATCAGAACCGCCCCTTTATATCATGGTTCCAGTTACGGTTCAAGAACTGTCGGTTCCGGTTCAGTTCTGGTTTGGTTCCGGTTCTTATGCTTTAAGTTCTATTTCCAAGTTGTAGCGGTTTTGGTTACAAAAATTTTTTTTTTTATCAAATTTCTTTTGTTTAATTTTTTTTTTTTAAGTGATATGGAATGTGGAGTAAGAAAATCAGTTGTTTTATATTTTAAAAAAGGACAATACTTGACATGTATACCCCAATTTAACTATATGAAAAATAATAATACATTTGTGGTGCTAAAAACTTACTCGAATCAACAAGCACTCCTTAGAAACATTATCTGAATAAATAGATAGTTTGTGTTGTATTCCAAAAACTAACTATGCTAAAAGAAACTAAAAAATTACTGCCAAAGTGAAATTTTCGAGAATATTCAAAGCTCGCATCACGAATGATTTAATACAGAGTATTACCTAAAACCTGCAAAAAAGAAGTTAGTATTCCAATGGTTAAGTTAGTACATGGTTCGACATTCAAGAGAGAGAAAACTATATTGAAGTGTATCGTGTATAAAATGTGTAATAAGGGAGAGTACATGGTGTAAAATATGTTATATTTATTATTTCTTGGATTTGGATTTATTTTTGTTATTATATTAGTGACTTTTTTAGATATAATTGAGATGGCTCTCTTCTAAGTTGTTTTGTATTGATAACAGTATGAGATAACGACCTTATGAATGATTAAGTAGTAGTGAAGAAGGTGGTGAGAGAGTGTTGAAACTTAATTTTTTTTAATTTAAGAAAATGATGAAATCGTCGGAATATAGTTTAACCAATAATTGGACCGACGGTTTATACGGTTCAAAACTGACGGTTAGAACAGCCAGTTCATGATTTTAAAACTAATAGATACTTAACCGAACCACCAATACAAAGTTCAGTTACGGTTTTAGAACCTTCGAAAACGATTTAGGAACTGAAACCTTATTTTCCGGTTTGGTTCTGGTTCGAACAAGAACCTTGGGCATGCCTAGCTATATCCCAACAAGTTCAAAATTATTTATTATTTTATTTATTGTTTTTTTTTTGTGAAAGAAAATGTAACGATTGATAGCATGATCAACAACAAAAAATAACAACGGTAATAGCGACAATAATCACAAGAAAATTGGACGACAATCACCTTCAGAGCCCCGTGGTACTCACCCTGAATGTTAACTAGTTTAACCGATTCTCGCCCTTTAAGGTATTTTTCCATGCGGTTGTTTCATTTTATTTTTTTTAATATAATGACTAGATACTTGGTCTGGGCACCTGCCCGGGCGGTGTCTCTACTTCAATTTTGTGTTAATAGATAAATGAATTACTGATTTGAAAAAAAATAAAATAGTTACACATTTGCACAACTATCGCAAGAGTCTTGCACTAAAACTCCAGTCATCAAAGAAACTTCTTTGGTTTGAATTCTCTACCGATGGGATTGCTTTACAGTAAGGATTTGGTGAACGCCTGTTAGCATCAGAAACAATAGAACCCCACTCCAAAGATTGTTTAGAGCCCAAATTTTCCTGGAGTTTGATGTATTTGAATGACATCGAATCAGAACACAGTAGTAGGTACTACTAAATAAAATGTACATATACAATATTAATCAACAAAACTTATCCAGCAATACAGATTGCAATTCTTTCCCACATGTTCACCCGGCATGCAAAGCTGGGTCAGACCTCTATAAACAATTGGTTTACAGCTTGCATTATTGGTAATAAGGTTTGTCTGTCTTTCCTGTGCTGATTAAAAGCATAATTAAAAAAAATATTTAATGATCAATGAATAATGAAGCAAACATTTAGTTGTTAAAAAGAGAAACTAATATACGACCAGGCTGCACACCAATCAAGGCGCATATTAGATAACCTGATACAGCTTACCAAATTGATACCATGAATTTTGACGGAACTTTCCACACTATATCAAAGAGCTAAAAAAAGTTAATTATTAGTAATAGACTAAAACCTAACAAATCGAACATGTACCTGTAGGAGGAGTCAGACCCGGAAGCAAAAATTGGTACCTGCACCCTGCCTTCGTAGGAAATCAGTGTACATCCTTTCACATCAGCAACGTTTTTGGAGTAACCTGCCAAAATTCAGGTTTGATTCTTGGTGTATTTTTCTACAATCTGTTTGGCAAAAGAGACGTCAGTCTCTTGAGATTATAAAGGAACAACCAAAACAATGCAATATATGCTATTTTGTTTACCTTCAAAGTATCATGATGAGTACTGAAAGAGTCATAAGAAGCAAGGGCACATTGCATCCATACTTCTTGTTTAGTGTCTGCATAAATATCATTAGTGTCAAAAGCGGCAATGATCAAAGACCAAACGCCACAGACATGAAATGGTTATTGATATGCAATACCTCAATCTGAATAACTATTAAGTGAAGGAATATCAATCCATTGCGAACTTCAATTACAGACCTACAGCCAAAAAGGATTGTGTCAATCATCAAGTAAAACAGCACCGGTACCATTCATTTTTTTTTTCTTTTTTGAAATATGAATTCTGAAATGATAGAAACAAAACACCACAAATCACCAAAAATTATCAATATTTCTACCAGTCAGATGAACAATTGATCACTTACTGGTAGTCACAGCTTTTTGCATTGATCGCTCCTCTTGAGCCATGATCATATTTGTGATTCATGTAGTTGTCCTGAAGTCTGAAACATTTAACACTTTTAGAGGGGTAGTTATCATAATTAAGAACACAAAATTGAGAGACATGGCATCCCGATTTAAACATCCATGCCACTAAACAAAAAACTTGCAAAATATTTAACACTTGGGCATGCCTAGCTATATCCCAACAAGTTAAAAATTATTTATTATTTTATTTATTTATTTATTTTTTTTTGTGAAAGAAAATGTAACGATTGATAGCATGATCAACAACAAAAAATAACAACGGTAATAGCGACAATGATCACAAGAAAATTGGACGACAATCACCTTCAGAGCCGCGTGACACTCACCCTGAATGTTAAGTAGTTTAACTGATTCTCGCCCTTTAAGGTATTTTTCCATGCGGTTGTTTCATTTTATTTTTTTTAATATAATCATTCTCGCTAGTGACAAAAAAGAAATGAAAACTAATCTATCCTAATGTGTTTGGAAATCCATTTACATCAAACACAAGTACTATGAGGCCAGAATCGCTTTAATCGTTCACTCCTCAATCAAAATAAGTACTAAACCTTCGATCTTTAAAATTTCATAAAAACAAAAAGAAATCAAAGAAACAACCTCATAAAGACTAATGCTACTACTAAAATAAAGAAAGCTAAGCTCATTTCTTCAAGCAAATTAAACAAGTTACTTTGTCAACTACAAAAGATTGTTCAAAATCAATTTAGACCAAATGAAAAATCTCAAATTCAAAGAAGTTGAACATTCATGAATATCTTAAATGTTAAATTCGGGAGGGATGAATTCATTCCAATCAAGCTTGACGCGGCACGAGATGCACCTGTATGTAAAGACCTCTCTCTTCACAGGTCTTAAATTCACAAATGCATAAGTCATCCTTTCCAATCAGGTTCGTCCTGCAAAGAGCCTTCCATCCACCACAATAATGAGATCGGCCATCATCCCAAATGCTGAGACTCGTCTTCCACTCCTTCCCTTGAGGATCACGCAAGAAGGTCTCTTCTGGAAGTTCAAGGCTGTAGACTTTTATAATTTCACTCGGAACAAACTGCAAAATTGTTGTCCAATTAAGTTTCTTGCATTAGTACCAAAACAAATCCATAACTGGATCATTTTCTGGAGCAACGTTAGTTAGCTATTTACGGTTTGCATTTCAACAAAACCCTTTACACAATTAATAATTTAACATAACAATTGCAAAATATAGCCTAAACCTGAAAAGGTGGTGAGACCATCGTTAAAATCCAACCTAAGTTACGTCAAGAATGTGGATAAATTTATTTTCAATATCATCACTTACCAATCCATATTGCCTCCGCTTATTCACTTTAGCAACAAAATGGGGATTCTCAGGTTTGGGAACAATTCCTGATGAGAAAATATCATCACCGAAGGGATCGACTAGTCTCTTCGTCTTCCAACGACGAGGACCGTTTTCTGCACCTTCTCCTAATAAAAATGTAAATGGAAAATAATTAAACAAAATGAGGTAATCAGTTTCACATGTAACACAAGAGATTTAGAAATACATATATATATATATATATAATATTACGCAATAAAAATAATGGAGTATAAAATCGTTAAGTTATGAAGAAACAATTAGATAACCTTAGGGGTATTATTGAACATTAGAATGAAATAGTACCTCTGATGATTTCTGAGCTACAGGGGGAGTTCATAGGCTGAGTTGAAACATTTTGGTTTACGTCATCCAATATGTCGATCCCTAGTGTTTCTTCTTGGGCATTACCATCTGTTGGTTCTTCTTCTTCTTGCTCTAACTTTATTTTGTAGATAAGACGTCCAACTCCTCTCTTATCACAAGAATCGTGTCCACATATTTTCACATCGAAAAAATGTCCTCCATCATACTTGAAAATTAACAAGTCTCCCATTTCTAAGTAGTTTTGTTTGACAAATCCTGGCCAGCCCGCAAGAAAATATGTTTTTCCCTCATCATTACCAAGCTCCACAGCCCACATGTTTCCGTAACGATCCCTTAGAAGTGCTTGGCTTGGCAGTTGTTTTCCTTCCATGTCCCCAATCCACGCCAAAGGAAGCATCTGTAACGCAACGAATTAATTAGCTGATGTGGAGCATCCACAATTGTTTGCATCATTTTGGGTATAATAACATGCCAAATCCCCATTTTGTCATATTACACTTTTATTACACTTTATTTTACATTGGTCTTACACTATAAAAGTGTAATATAATTAATTCAATATGGAATGACCATGGACCAACAATTAAGTTAATTGTTAATTTTTAATCATTTTCAAAAAAATAAATTAAATAGGATAATTTGCATTAAATACATAATGACCCACCAAACCATATATTCAACCGTGTAAGAATTCTTACACTCTTCCAATGATAAAAAGTGTAATAAAATGGTAATTTATTTTTTATTAACCACCACTAAAGATGTCATTATTGTTTTATTTTACTACTTCAACTTGGTAAATATAATTTAATTGGTCTATTTTCAAATATTATAAATTTGTGGTAGACATGATGTGTATATCTAATATACCACAAGAGAAGTGGCAAACAGATTTAAATATTCACATGACATGCGGATGGCATATGATAAACAAAACCTTGTGCTCATGGTAAATGTAGTCGACTAAAAATGGGCTGATCAAGTAAAGTGATAGAAATATATTTTGAAGCTAGTGAATTAGATTAATGCTTATCTTTGAGTTTTTGGATGATTCCTATATGTAGAAGTCTATTCTTCATTTGAATGTATGCATTGACAAATGGCATACATATTTGGTTATGAAATTAGGGATACAGACAAAATCCCCCGACTATATCCCAAAAACTTATGATCCCATCTACTCCCTCGGTTCTTAATATAAGGTATTTTGATTTGTCTTAAATATAAACTAGTACACATTTTTAATTGACGAAAAAACCTTAAAAATATTTCATAATAATCAAGAGAACACAATGAATATGAACATATATTTTTATGGTTTCAATTAAAGATGTGTTCTAGGTGAAACTTAGGAAAAGTAAAAATACCTTATAATAAGGACCAGAGGGAGTATTTTACAGAACAAAAACTTCCTTGACCGCCACAAGGTTAAAGTCAAAGGTACATTTGTGTAAAAATCACTAAAAAACACACAAAAAAAGAAAAGTTATAATTAGATTTAAAAAAATTTTATAAGCTGAATTTATAATTATACTCGATACTTGCTTTGAAAAAGACAAAAATTACTTCAAACTATATTCATATCCTCAATGACTGAGTGATCACAACATCGTCTTCAATGTTTTTAACTAAAGTCATTTTCATAGAATAGATATTATGAAAATTAACAAATTGAATAGAAGAATTATAACACTTCGAGATTTCACTATAAGTTGCACATGGTAAAGAAAATTTCTCGTTGAATAAAAACTATTACCAGAAGTTGTAAGGATTTTCCGCATTTGTGGGTTAAAACAAATCAAAATATTAACATAACTATTTTAAATTTTTGTCAAGAGGGTTCTAGTCCTTAAAAAAAAAAAACATTCAAGGGGCATGCGGGATTTGGGTGTAACATGGGATTGTTTGTCATTTTGCATAATAATAATAATAACAATAATAATAATAATAATAATCTTTTAAAAATGACATTGTTATTATTTTACTCATTTTTTCCATAAGTTTTCACTATTCCATATACGGAAGGTAAGACTGTCCATTTGGACGTCGTAGTTTGGGGGTTGTTTAACATTTCAAGAAGTGCCGAGGGGGAAGTAATCATTAGAACATAATTCGAGAGGCTTTTGGTCCTTATCCCTTGAAATTATAAGAAAGTCCAAAATTAATGACAAAAAGGTTTAAGGTGGGAGCTTGATAAAACGTCAAAGGTGTTTCAGTTATTAAGTTAGTGTGCAAGATTTTTGAAATTACTAGTGAAATTTAAAGATAACATTAATATTCATTTTTACAATTCATTTAACAAGAATAGCATTGTTTGATAATACATTTGAAAATTGAGAATAGGCGTTTTTTTGTTAGTCAAATTCGAAAAGATCTGTTTTACTTTTTTCAAATTAAAATTAAGCCTATTTCTTATCAAGGTATACACTTCGTTATACTATTACTGTTTTTCATGTAAATTTTGTACAAAATAAATTAACATTGTACACCCAGAGTAATTCTGAGAGTAAGACTGAAAGATCAAACAAAGTTAAATAGGAAAAATAACCTTAGGGTTTAGATTAATTTGATTTATTTATCTCATAACCGTTGTATATTTTTTCATGTAAATCCTTCTTCTTCTTCTTTTTTTTTTTTTTTTCATTTTTCTAATGCTGACAAGAGGGCACATACAAAGAAAAATGATCTATTGGTAGGTGAGTATTGGTTTTAAGAAGGAAAAATCTGCATTTCCTGTGCATGCATTTCAAACCCGCCTCCCTCTTTACCGATTGCTCCTCGGCTCTATGCATTCTTTGTTGATCTTCGAGGGCACACCAGTGTAATCTTCTGTTAGCTTTCAAAGAATTTACATGTACACCTCGATGACATCTTCCACTAGTTTCCACATGTTCCAATATGCAATTTGGATTGCATAAGAATGTTTTTTGTATTATTACAGTTTAACCATTCCATTTTAGAATTTTCTTCTTGAGTTGGATGCTTTGTTAGTTGTTCTTCGAAACACATCAATATGTATCACTCGTGAACTTTAAGGGTAAGATTAAAAAAAATAAGTGTACGGATTTTTGGGTGTTTAAGCAACAAAATCAGGTTCTTGAATCTTTAAAAAAACAAGACTTTAATTTAATTATATTTAAAAAAACTTTTTTTTGGGTAAATTTCATGTATCTTAGTATTAGTGGTTGCTCTGTCTTTACTATTGATTATTAATAAAATTAGTTCATATAAAACGTACTGAAATTGAATGAAGACTCGAAAAACTTTACTCAAATAGGTGTGGTATGCACCCGCTTGTCCCATAAGAAAGTAATGATTAATCAAGTAGCTTGTCCAAATAGGTGGAGAAAAGAAGAAATACGACTCTACAAGAAATTTTGAAACCCCAAAATAATAAACACATTAGTTTGATTATTTTGATTAAGATTGGACGAAGACACGGGGAGAAGAGAGATTTGAGGTTTGGCAAAATCGAACTGAGTGGCGGTGGCGTTCAAAGGCAGCCGTAACAGTACAAAGAGAAGACCAAAACTACAATCATGCTGGGTTCAATAAAAGTGTAAAATAATTTCTTTGAACAAGGTCGCATGGTATAAAGATGTGTAAATGGAAGCATGGGAAATAGAGGGCGAGTTGATGGGAGTTTGTGGGAAGAGATAAATAATGGCGAGGATGAAGGGATCAAAATATAGAACACGATAAAGATGGAATAGATACCCTCCAAATTGGTTGGGATTGGAATTCTTGGAATGAATAACAATTTAAGTAGGCTTATAAAATGAACCAAGCATAAAAAATTTCTATCAAAGTCAAACCCATACCTTTTTCTTCAAACCCTCCCAAATGCTCAAACGTAAAACTCATTTTCATAGACAAAATATCTTATCAATTGACAATGGCATAGTAAACGATCCACTTATCATTTATGGGTTCATTCTTGGATCATGAATGTCGCAATATTGATACTAAAACTGATGACATATAGTCTGTCTCCCACCCCCGCCGTTTTTTTATCATTTGAGAGTTGGTGGTATTCTTGTACTTCTCAAAAATTTGGAAAGAACGAATTTTGTTTAGTATCTTTAAAATACCTTAGAAAAGGTCAACGGTGTATACCTTTGATCAGTAAGATGTATTCAGATAATGATAATTTTTCCGGTTTTAAGAATTATTTCATAATTCATTCAAATAATATAATTGTTATTATTATTTTTTTTTTTGGGGTTCAATTGCATTTTGCTCCCGAGATTTGGTCTCGCAACCAATGTGTCAATGTCCCTAGCAATTTGGATATATAACCAACTTTTGTCCTTGATAAGCTATTCTTACAAGTCACCTAGTAAAAGTCGTCAAAAGACAACATAGCAAACACCCTTTCTTTAACCGAAAATACAATTTATTTTCTCTGTGTGTTGTTTTATTCATTTTTTTTTTGTTAATGTCTTTATTATCCCCACCACCCTTATCCAATCATCCCAAACAGTTTTATACTTCCGGGCAAATACATGAAGCCAGACCTAGTAAGACTAAATAAAACTCAACAGGGCTCCTACCACAAGCTCAATGTTTCCAAGACTACCCGAAGGAAACTAGGAACCTATATTCATTATTATAATAGGCATCACTTGCCAAAACTGAATCAAAAGTGCTCACGTCAACATGCATATACGCACTAGGGTTAAAACTCAAGTTTCTTGATGTGGTGAAAATCAGTTGCATTATGGGGTTAATATTCATTAAATAAAAACAGAAGAAGAAGGCCCTTGACCCTGAAGAGTACTGATATGTGGTGAGTTTACTTAAAGCTTTTCATGGTGATTTAACGACCAAAAAAAAAAAAACGAATTCTAACCCCCATCGCATTCCACTTATTGATCTCAAAATTTCAAAATTTCACTTCATCGAATGAAGATAGCAATGGGGCAACTTGCAGGTAGCGGTTGATTGGCAAATCAGTTGATGTGCAAGTTCATGCCTTGTTGGTCTCTTCTTCTGGTTCATCCATCTCAGAAAAAAACAAAAAAATTGTGACATCACGAAACAGGAAAAAGAGTGAAAATAAAGACATATCTAATACAATCGCCTCTAAAGTTTTCACTCTAATTATTTGATGTATAGTTGAGTGTCATCGGGATCTTGTCCGCGACGATTTTTTGTGGCAATGGAGATTACGGAAGCGGAGAGGGGGAGATAAGAGAAGCGAATAGTTTAGGTTGGGTCGCGTCAGTGTCTTAATTTCAGGCAAGAAAGACGTAGTTTCCGGATTGACTTGCTAGTCAACGGGTGCCGATCTTTCAAATTGCGAGAGAGGTTTACACTTTACACTTTTATAGAAATACAAACGGAACTTTGGGAGGTAAAACGTAATCAATAACCTAAAATCTTGGTACCCAAGGT